CCCCCCCCCTCCCCACCCCCCCGAGTGCACAAATTTTTGTGCACCGGGCCTCTAGTATGTACTTATAAAGGCAATTGGTAAATATTATATTATCAAATGTAATGCATATTAAATACAATATAAAGTTGACAACAATGTCCTTTAGAATGATCCCTATATCAAGTGAAACTCCTTGTTTTGCAGATAAGGAAAATGATTAAGAGAATTGTCCAAAGCTGACTAGCTAGTTAGAGGTTTCTTCATCATATATAATGCATTATAAATTTTTATTCTAATGTAATCCAGCCTGAATTAAAATAAAGTGCGTTTTTTTTTCCATAAAGATGTGGTTACAATTGGTTTTCAATTTAACATTAAATATCTTTCACAGCATCTGTAGCCTATAAAGTATAAACTTAAACTGGTGATCAAAGAGTAATATATTCTTAAAAAGAAAATAAAAAATGTGTGACATGCAAGAATTATAATTATAAAACACATTTACTAAGTGAGCATGAATTACTTCTAAGTATATAGAAAAATGACTTTTAATTCCTATGGTCAGATTAGACTTTTCTAAAGAAGCAAGTAAGGTAATAATATACTTGATAACTGCATATTTCATGCCAAAGACTGCTTAAAACCAAATCATTTAAAGGAGCACTAAAAGTACTTTTATTCAATTTATTTCTTTTACTTCTATTAAATTACTACCATTTAGTAAGAAACATATTTTTCTCCCTTGAGAAAGATTTATTTTCAACTAGAACAGAGCAGCAGTTAAAAAGTATTCACTAAAAATAATAATTTTAAACTAGAATAATTATAATCCTATAAAGACTCTTAGAAAGCACTTTCCATTGGTTTGGTATAGCTTTCTTTATGCATTAAAGAAACATTTTTGATAATTTTAAGATATTTTCAAAAAAATCTGTGAAGAAGCTCATTTAATAGAATATTTATAATAAAACTTAGACCATATGCTCTTCTTGCCAAGAATGCCTGAAATAGAAAATAAATATACTGAGTCTTGAAATAATTGAATTTAAACTGTTGCATTAAATTTCACCCAAGCCATGATATTATTTTTCTATACTCTTCAACAGGGTCTGAAAATAATACAGTTCATTGTGTCCCTAGGAATACTAGTATCCTGTATAAGTTACCAAGTACCCCTTTCAGGAAAATACTCTTAATCTCAGCTACAGAACTGCTTAGTACTAAAAAGATTTCAAATTGTCACATATATTCTCCATAGGAATTTTTTTGTCAAGTGCTTCAGAGAATGCCTACTTCACAAAAGCTGAACATTGGATAATGTCAATGATAAATTTCTATGAGGTCTATGAATTAAATTTCCCAAAATGAATATCTGCACCTGGGTTTTATCATAATAATAGAAGAAACTAAAACACTGCCGTTACTAGTTAAAAAGGCTTTTTGTTTGCCAACTTTTGCTTTTCATTTAATTTTCCTGATATTATATAGTACCTCACAGGTTTCCTTTCTCGGAGTAAATCTTCTAGGCTCTCTTCACAGTGTTCAGCCACTACCACCAGTCTCTCTGAATAAAACAAAACAAATCCATTTTATATGTTATATACATATTTTAATAACATTTTACAACATTTTATACAACATTTTAATAACAAAATAATACATCTCACTAAATATATTAACATATAGTACAAATGATATTTTAAAAGAGGTTTTCAAACTCTATATTAACTACATAATTACCAAATATGTATAATAACAGGATCAATGTGTAATAAAACAATACATTAAATAATATTTTTTCATCTTGTGTTTTTCTCCCATGGAAAACACATCAGGAAAAATAAATAGAAAGGCTTACCTTTGGAAAAAAGTGATCCTTCCTCTGACATAGACTAGGAGAAGGAAAAGGTTGGGTGAAGATATAAAAAAATTTTGAAGGGAAGGGAAAATTAGAAGCTAGGAACAGATTATTTTCATAGCCTGGGTCCAACAAAAGGTCTGTGAAATTGAGTGCAGGAACTTGAGAAAAGTAGAAATACTCTGAATCATGACTATAGAAAAAGAACAGAAAATTGACGTGGGATTGTTTGTAATATCCTGGGGCCTTCTAAACTATGTAATAAAAATTTTGTTAGGCACAATCAATATTATGATGTAATTTTATTTTCTAACAGATCTATGAATGAGATAGCACAGTTCTGAGGGTTATACTTTTTCCTTCATCAGTAACCTTAGTAAATAACACATTGTCTGACATAGTAGCAAATGTATGTATATTTGTAAACGAATTAATATAAGAAGAACAAGAGAAAAGTACAACGGGGCTTACAAGTGGACGGGGTTTTAATAAGGTTATTTCAGAAGAGATTAAGGGTTTAAAAGAAATTGCAATGCTGTGAACATCCATACAAAGTGGATTCAAGGTTAGATAAGAAAGAAAGTTATCGCAAAATATAGATGGCAAAGATAAAAAAGTGAAGGTGCATCCTAGCCGGTTTGGTTCAGCAGATAGAGCATTGACCTGTGGACCTAAGGATCCCGGGTTTGATTCCGGTCAAGGGCAAGGACCTTGGATGCACTTTCCTCCCTGGCCTGGGCCCAGGTCAGGGCACTTGCAGGAGGCAACCAAAGATGTGTTTCTCTCACATCGATGTGATGTTTCTCTCTGTCTTTCCCTCTCTCTTCCACTCCCTCTAAAAATCAATGGAAAAGTATCTCGAGTGAGGCTTTTTAAAAAAAAAAAGTGAAGGTGCAATGAGACAAGGAATAGTGAAAATCACACAGAGGTGTGGTGAAAATAAAAAGTAGCAAAGGTAGAAAAATGAGATAGAAGATAGGAAAGGAGAATTTCAGAGTAGGAAATCCAGTAAAAGGAATTAACTCGGTAACAATTAGTTCAAGGTCTGGTCTTACATGGGGGAGTAGAAATGGGAAATGGTATACATACAGGCAGTCAAGTGAAATGTGAGAGCAGGATATGGAATAGTCACATCTTGGAAGCTGAAACTCTCTGAGATGGTGGCATCATACAGAATGGACTGAAACACTAAAATTAAAAATGCTCTAAATAAAAGCTATCACTTTTAGGGAGAAACCAAGATGGTGGCATAGGTAAACACCAGAAATTGCTGCCTCGAACAACCACTTCAAAAATACAACTAAAAGACAGACATCATATCATCCAGAACCACAGGAAGGCTGACTGAGTGGAAATTCTACAACTAGAAGGAAAGAGAAAAGCACACTGACACTCAGAGGAGGTTCGGAAGTAAAGTGCAGAGGTACAGAGGCGCACGTGGAAAGGGCTGGCAACTGAGGACGCGGTTGTCTTTTTCAATCAGGAGGGAGACACAAGCTCCCCACGGACCTGACTCCAGTTCCAGGCGAGTCTCTGGGGACCCAGACTCATACAGGGAGAAACTGGACTGTCTGGCAGTGGGCAGAACTCCAGGGTGGCTTTCTCTCAGAGGTGCTTGCAGCGATTACCAAGGGACACTGAGACCCGGGACCTCTTAGGGAAGGACTGAGGATCAGCCATAGCTGTTTGCTCCACCCTGTTGATTCCCTGAGACCCCGCCCCACCCAAGCTGTGCCCAGAGGCTTTTGCATATGAATGGACTGGCCCTTTGAGATCTGAAATTACCTAACAAACTGCAGCTGGGTCAGAGAGACCCAGATCATCCAAAAGAAGGCCCAAGGCCCCACAGCAGCTTGCATTGCTTCACAGCTG